GTTTCTTCTATTCAGAGTGAAGGATAGTCAGAAGAAGGCAGGCGTTTTTAGTGATGAGGAACACCAAACATGCAATTAAGAAGTGGTCTGGAAACAGAGATAAGTATCCAGGAGCTTTAATTTCTGAGTTAGAGAAGAAAATTTCGTTGATAGAGGATGATATTCAACAGAAGAAGGTGTTGTCGACAATGAGGTTAACAGAGTTGAAAAAATTTTAGAGTAGAATTGTGGAAGCTTCACAAGATTCAGGAGCAGATCTGGTTTCAGTACTCGAGAACTAAATGGGTTGAAGATGGGGATCGTAATACTAAATACTTCCATACCTGTGCTACGATTAGGAACAAAAGGAATGCTCTACTTGCTCTAAATTTTAAAGGGGAAACAGTTGAAGATCCAACTGCAATTAAGGCCATAGTTAAAGAGTATTTTTTAAGATCTATAATGAACGAACTACGTTAGAAATTGATGATTTGAAACGGATTTTCCCATAATTATTTGGAGCAGGAGTTTTCTGAGGAGGAAGCTTGGGATGTTGTGAAGTCTTGTGGTAGTAATAAAGCTCCGGGTCCTGATGGCTTTAATCTGGGATTTTTCAAGAGGTTTTGGCAGGTCCTTAAGGTAGATTTTATGAAATTCTTTCATTTTACTTGGGGAAAGAATGGGAACAGGAGTAAATCACAACATTCATCACTCTATTCTAAAGATTTCAAACATTGGTGGTCTGGACGATTTTAGACCTATAAGCTAGTTGGGGATTGTATAAGATACTCTCTAAATGTCTGTCAAGAAGACTTAGGAGCTGCATTTCAGATTTGATCAGTCCAAGTCAATTCGCTTTTATCCCCGGTCGGCAAATCTGGACTGTTTATAGCCAATGAAGGGATGACTTTTGGAGGAAGAATGGTTTAAAAGGTTGTTTTTAAGGCTGATTTCAAGAAGGCATATGATAATCTTGACTGGCCTATTTTGTTCAGAATAATGAAGGAAATGGGCTTTGGTCTAGATGGATAGGTTGGATTTCGAAATGTATCACATCAGCAACTGTTTAAGTTTTGGTGAACGGGTTCCTACCGAGGAAATCCTAATGGCAAAGGGTCTCCGGCAGGGTTGTTCCTTGTCTCCATTGTTGTTCAATATAGTTGGGGAACTCTTGAATTTATTAATACTTAAGGTTGTTTCAGGAGGGCTTTTTTCGGGTTTGGTTATTAGAAAAGAGGAGAGGAATTTTAATTTAACTCATCTGCAATTTGCTGACGACCTTATTATGTTCTGTGGTGCGTCGAAAAACAGATCTGAATGAAAGAGGGTGCTTCGAGTGTTTGAGATTATTCTGGTCTTCAGCTGAACTTGAAGAAGTGTAAATTATTTGGGGTGAACTTAAAGGAAGAGGAAATTAAGGATTAGGCAGCTATGATTGGATGTTCAGTGGGTTCTTTTCCCTCAGAATATTTGGGACTACCTCTAGGTCCACATAGGAACTCCAACATTCTATGGGATCCAGTGATTCAAAGCTTTAATAAGAGGTTAGCGGGCTGGAAAGGCTCCTCTCTGTCACTGGCAGGCAAGCTAGTTCTAATTAAATCAGTCCTAAGCTCACTCCTATATACTTTTTGTCAATGTTCAAGGTTCCAACTTCAGTTTACAAGACTCTAAATTCTATTATGTCAAATTTCTTATGGGGTGGTGGAGATGGGAAAAAGAAGATCCATTGGGTAAGATGGTCCGAGTTTGTAACCAAAAATTGAAGGAGGCTTGGGGGTTCCTAATTTAAATGTGGTGAATAGGGCACTTTTGGAAAAGTGGGCTTGGAGGTTTGCTATTGAGAGGAAGGCGGTTTGGAGGGAAATGCTCTGCATCAAATATAAATTGGACCCTTCCTTGATGCAGTTCGAAAGTAAAGTTTCTCCTAAATTTTCTTGGATGTGGAGAGCTATGGTGAGTAATCATTATAAAGCTGATTCGTTGGGTTGTAGTATCAGAGGCAAATATAGCTATAAAATTGGCAATGGGAGGAATTCGGTTTGGCAGACAATTGGGCAATGGATCATCCTTTGATGGTATTGTTCCCTAGACTATTCTCTATTGCAGTGAACAAAACAGGAAGATTATTTCAGTTTAGGAGCGTTCAGTCAGGGGGCTGGTTTTGGAACGTTCAGCTGAGGAGAGAGTTGAATGACTGGGAATTTGAGCAATGGGCAAATTTGATGGTGTTATCTCTGATTTTTCTATTTCTGCTGATGCTGCTGATGGACTGTTTTGGAAGGGAATGATGAAGGGGTTTCATGTGAAATCATGTGTCAATCTATCTTATTCGGGTTCTCCCGATTCGAGGAAGCTAAATTTTGGAAGTCTATTGTTTGGAGGGGTCTGTTGCCTCCAAGAGTAGAGACTTTCTTTGGCAAGTTATCTTATAGAAGTTGGCAGTGAAGGCAGCTGGTTAAGAGAGGGTTCAGGGCATAAATGATACTTTGTGTTCTTTTGTAATCTAGAAGAAGAGTCTTCATTGCATTTATTTTTTCCTGTTCGGTTGTTTGGCCATTTGGATGAATTCTTGGGCTATTGGAATTTTCAGTCTGTTTTCATGCAGATGCTAAAGATTCCTATTGGCTGGAATGACTTGAAGACCAACTCTCTTATCTGGTCATTTATCCCTGGAGCTGTATTATGGACAATTGGAAGACCAGGAATTTTATAGTGTTTGAAGGAGGGAAGCTGATCGAGCAGAATTTTTTTTTAGCAAGGTGCAGGCTTGCTTCATGGTTTCTAGCTAAGGAAACTCAGATTACTATTTCCAAGGATGATCTTATTGCTGACCCTTCCATAGTGGATTCCTACTCGTCCCATTCTAATCGGATTTCAACCATGTTTCCTGGTCCCTCCTCCAAAGGGTTTTATTAAACTTAATGTGGATGCGGCTATTCGAGTGATTGGAAGAGGAGTGGTTTAGGTGGTATTTTGAAAGACATGTCTGGTTCGATTCTTGGCTCCTTCAAAGAGACTGCTGGTCCGGGGCCCCCAACTTTAATGGAATTGAAGGCTATCCTAAAGGGTTTAGATTTTTATGAATCTATTCGCCCATAGGTTTAAAGATAGATTGATTGAGAGTGATAGTAAGGTGGCAATTGGCTGGGTTAAGGATGTGGTTTCTTGTCCTGTTGTTTATGTTCAAATTGTTAAAGACATTATTCAAAAGCTTAGTGTTTATGAAGGTTTTATTAGTGGGTTAGTAGGACAGCCAATTAGAGGCGGATGTCTAGCTAAGGCTGGTATTGGTGAATTATGTTTGTTAAGGGCTGTTTCTTTCTGGTTTTGTATCTCTTGAGGGAGATTAGTTTGTATTACTTTGTTATTTTGAGGTTAATGAAATCCTAGGGCACTCTTTTCCTCCTTTTGCGGATTAAGAAACTATTTTTAAGTTCCGTTAATCATGAAGGGGGTTTTATTGAGGCCTACTATTCCTATAAAAAAACAAGAAAAAGTAAAATTTGTTCACTTCGAGGAGATCAACCTCCAAACAATTGCCAAAAGGCTTTTGCTATTTGATTGCTTTGGAAAATAGCCATAGGGAATTATTTATAGGGTTCATAATTCTTGGTGACTAAGGATTAGAGTTTTCGAACAAGGAATGAAGGAAATTGAAAACATTTAAGGAAATTAAATAATCTAATATAAATTTATAATATTAAGGAATCAATTATTTAAAATAGTAAATTCCTACAATCAAGGATCCTATTCCCTGCCTTTCAATAGTCTTCTCCTCAAGACTTGAGTAGCCATGAACTCAGGAAACTTCTCTTCCAAAAACTTGTAGGAGCTCTCCATCAAAGTTCTTATATTTAGAATGCCCAAACCAAACAAGAAGACCCCTTTTAAATTGCTCCCATGTAGTAATTCATTGACATGATTCAAATTCGTCATACCACTGAATAACATCTTCATCTAGCTGAATTGAAGTTGTTTCTACTTTAGATTCTTCTGGGGTTTTTTAGAAGCGAAAGTATTTTTCCGCTCTTGAAATTAAGCCACTTGGATCACTATCTTACTATCTGCAAAACTCCACCTTCATATGAGGGTAATCCATATCACCATCTTGGTAATTTCTTCCATTTTCTCTCCATGTTTGTTGTTTGAAGTAGAATCTTCATTACTCGATCTTTTTTTATGCTCTCAAGTAAATTTTTCTTGAAAATCTCAAGCGATTCCCACATCTTTTTCTCAAATTCTTCGACTTAATCCCTAGATTTTGGTTTTTGTTTCGGGTTAATGTAATGCAAAAAAAAAGGATTTTTTTTGTGGTGCTTTGTGGTTGATTGTGACTCTGATACCAAATGATAATAACTTATGGTTATATCCTAAGAATTGGGAAAATTAACAAGAAAAATAAAATTTGATCACTTTTATGGGATCAACATCCAAACAATTGTCAAAAAGACTTTTTGTTGTATTTGATTGCTTATGAATAGCCATATGGCATTACCTATTTTTAGGTTCATAATCTTTTGTGACCAAAGATTAGGGTTCTTGAACAATGAAATAGAAAAGATTTAAGGAAATTAAATATTCTAATATAAATGCATAAGATTAAGGAATCAATTGTTTAAAACAGAAAAATTCCTAAAATCAAGGATCCTATCACCTTGTAACTCATTAGAAATAAAAATTAATTAACTCATCTGCCATAACTCTTGTTTTGGTGGGCAAAAAGGATTCTCTCTCTCACCAAAAAGGAAAAAGAAATTATGATTTTAACGAAAATTGGAAATAGTACATAATTGTAAGTTCAAATAAAATTTTAGTAGTAATATTGGTGCACAACTAGCTTGTAATAGAGTCGACATATGAAGATCAGCTGCTGTGTGTCATTTGATATTCTGCTGTTTTAGGAATTAGCTGATAGAATATCCTAGATGTCTTAATACAATAAATCAGCCTGTAATTTGGTGTAAATAAAGTCTAGAAATATCTACTAGACCTTTGATAAATCAATAGTTTTGCTAATTTATTTCCCTATTCAGATATTCTACGCACAATGCAGACTTCAGAGGACACAAGTGTGTATGACAAAGTTGTGAATGCTATTTTTGATGAAAAAACGTTAGCAACAAAAAGCCATCACCAGAATACTGGTAGATTGGGAATGGTTCACCATGATACTACTTCCATCCAGTTCGCAGATTTAGACACCGAACTTCGTGATTTTGTTGCTGAGGTCTCCAGGGAAGTGTTCAAGAAGCATTGTGCTAAGCATCTCGAAATAGTGCCTATGCATCTGCTAGATGATTGTACACAATTCTCAAGGTGCCTTCCACAGTCAAAATTCTTGTATCCTTTGTTTAAAGATACTGCTGACTAATCAAATCTGGTTTGTTTGACAAGGAATACTGTCAAACTTCTGACTCACGGAGGGGATATGCTTGAACTTTGTCATGAGCTGCGCCTACCTTTTGTTAAATGGATAGTAGTAAACCAGGTACTGAGTACTAAACTTCTCAGAAAAATTGCGCCTATGTTTTCAGTTTTTCTTATCTTCGGTTTGTGGATTGAATTGTGTAAGGCTGTAAGGTTGTCATATTTCTAGTTTAGAAATAGTCATAGCCTTCAAGAGCTAGATGTAACAATAAACTCTGTATGTCCATCAATTAATTCTCGATTATGCACTCTTGATAGTGGTTTTCCCAAGATGTTCAAATAGAAATTTTAAGAATACTAAAGAAATGACTTCCAAAATTGTCTTTTAACATTCTAATTTCTTTCTGCAATATATAATGTTGTTCAGTAGCATAAACACTCATCTTTGAGTTCTATAGGTATTTCATACCATATGCTTACTCTAAGTGCTTGTTTTATCTTCTCAAAATACGTGCTTTTGGAAAGCAATACCAAAAAAGTCATTCTTCTTAGAATTGAAAATATTATTTGATATAACAGGAAATCTTGTTGTCCTTCATGATGTAATATTCATCCTTTGTTATTTTACAATATAATGTTGTATTGAAAGAAATTTGTTAGGATTCCTAAGTGATATATCAGTTAGGAGCTAAAATTTAGTGGGTTTTCTTGAAAGTCTCTAAAAACTGTTTTGTGAGGATAATCACTGATTAGCACATTTTTATATTGATCCTTTTATATGTAGTGTTGTTGAAGCTAACCGTTTGCAACAGAAGATAACTGCATTTTTCTCGTTGTTTTTTATATGCATGCTTGTCATGGTCTCTAATCTGCTTTTTTTAGTGGATGTTTATTTGAAATTATTTGATTTTCCATTTTATCTGTCACAGAAATTTTCATTTAAACGATATGAGATATCATATGTTTATAGAAGAGCGATTGGTCATTCACCTCCAAATCGTTATCTTCAGGTATAGATGCTGTAAAACTTACGCTGTGATGCACCTTTTAATCTTACAATGTTTTCAGTTATTATTGGTAGTGCTTTCATATCAAAAGTTATGGTAACTTTGCACATTGACTCTTGATTACCAATAGGGTGATTTTGACATTATTGGAGGTGCATCAGCTTTGACAGAGGCAGAGGTTCTCAAGGTAATCTTTTTTATCTATCTATTGTTCTCTAGCCATGTAGGTTAGCTGGTTAGTTAAAGTTCTGTATTTTACCTCGTTATGTTTCTAGCTCAACCATGAGTGTTGATCGAGTCATTCTCCTCTCTCTCTCTCAGTGATGCTCTATGGCCAAATTATCTCATAGTTACTGCTACTGGGAAGCTGATGATTACTACTAAGAATTTATAAAATTATGCTTAAAACATTTTGTTATCATTTTAAAGGTCACAGCATTTCAATTGTGATTTTAATGTGATCTTTTAGATACGTTACGTTTTAGATACGTCGCCATCCATGGGCTTCGGTGAAAAACATTATTAGTTTTTTCTTTTTGCAGATAACTAAGGAAACACTATTTATATCTGCCTGAAAAGGACTGGGGTCTGAATGTGATTTTTTATGGTTTTTATATTCATTGTAAATCTATTCTTCAGGACTATGAAATCTGTATTTCCATGCCATGCCCATACACTTGGCTTGATTAATTTGTCATGCAGTAAGTTTGAAGAAAGTTATGTGTTGAAATGTTGTAGTATTAAATTTATACTTTGGACTCATTTGCAGGTGACAGTGAACATTGTTTCTCAATTTTTTAACTCAGAGTTGTGTGATATTCATCTTAATCACGGGAATCTGCTCGAGGCTATCTGGATTTGGGCAGGAGTCAATGCAGAGCACCGACTGAAAGTGGCTGAGGTACATCGTTGATGTATACACTGCATTTTATTTTATTGTGTGAAATTTTGGTCTGACAATTTCTCCCTTAACTAAATGAAGCTCCTCTCAATGATGGCTTGTTTGCGTCCACAATCATCTGAACGGAAGTTAAAGTGGGTTGTTATAAGGCGTCAGCTTTTGCAGGTTTGTTGAAACTATGAAACACACTGTGCTTAGCTTAAATAGCTATAGAAGTTGCCATTATAATAATGCATTTACCAAATTTGTACTTCTTAGAGTTTCATAAAGTTGAAGTGACTGTTTTGTGTCTATGGAGTGTTTGTTTATTACGGTTAAACCAAGCAGATATTCGAGCAGTTAGTGATTTTTATGGTAAGGCCTATGTTTCCAAGAAATGATCAGGTCTTATTGTACAGTCGTGATTTTAGTTAGAGAAATTCGTTAGACCTAACAAGCTGCTGTGTTTATTTTATATTGTAAATTTAGAAGCACACCATGTTGGATGAAAGTGCATCTAAAATGTGATAAAAAAGTGTGTATATTTGGGATTAATATTTTCTTTGTCAAATATTTAGGATGCATTGCAAATACTTTTGAATGATTTCTTATGTTGTATTTTCCCTTTAACGGTTATGGTTGTAGAAACTGTAAAAGAGAGGCTAATGATTGTTTATTATTTATTTATCAACATTATGGGTACATAAAGTCCTATAATATGTAAAGTAATATCTTATATTAATTACGTAATATTCTACATTAAATACAATATATATCAATCTTAAGATTTAGCCTACAAATACGTAACAATGATAAAGTTGTGCTATTGATTAGGGTCAATGGCATTGTTCTTTGTACCCAAAAAGAAACGATTCACTTAACTGTTTAGGCCATTGTAGTAAAGACTATAGTACAACATTCACTTGGATTGTGCTGGTTCACTGTTCTCTTCCCAAATGTTTTACTTGAAACTGCAAATTTCTTGAATGAATTAATTAGATAGATATTCTAGAACCCTGTCCGATAGATCCCCTTCTTTTTCTATTTTGGATTAAAAGAGCTGACCTATTTTGCTGAATGATGAGAATTTTGTAAAACCTAACGAAAAATCTTGGGAGCTACCTTGTACATTCTTAGAGGAATTGTCTTTGCTTCATATATTTTTATTAGGACATGCAAATACATGAAGTTACTTTAGAACAACGAGAAAATATGTAAAGGATTTGTGCTATTATTCAATCTGATAGAAAACTACTTTATAGTTTGTTCCAAAAAAAAATAAAGATTCATTCTAACTTTAGAAAACATTCTTACTTTATTAAAAAAAAAAAAAATCTTTGCTTCATGTAGGGTGAATCATGGTGCTTTGATATTATTAAGTTCAACTGTTCAAGAGCAAAGTAACCTTGAATAGGAAAAGTGGTTATGTATAATATTCTGGCAATAGTATAGTCATATATTTCAGGAGTTTCTTGTCCCTAGCGCGTTATTATTAATCTTGAAGAATTGTCGAAGTGAACCATATGAAAAATGAAATCCTATCATTAATTTAAATTCTTTGGTTTACTCATCCTCTTCTAAATTTCATTCTTTTCCAGGAACTCAATTTAGCAGAAGCTACTGTAAATAGGTTGCAGACTGTTAGTTTAAGATTCTGTGGAGCTGTAGACCAGGCCCTCCCTCGATTGAGGGGAGCATTGCCTGCAGATAAACCTACCCGCAAAGCTCTTGATGAGTTGTCAGACCTCTTTAGTTACTTGAGGATATGGAGGATCGAAAAACATGTTTATATAGACCCATTGATGCCACCAACTGAGAATTATCATAGAGATTTGTTTTTTCAGGTATGACAACTTTAGTTGCTTGTGTGTGTTTTTATGTACTAAACTATCATGACATGGATACACCTAGACATATGCTTATATTACCTTTATCATACCGCTTTGTCACTATGGTGCATATTAGAATGTTGATCATGACTACTAAAGGCATCTATCTTTCCCATTATATCTTTAGAGAAACTGGGGTTTAAAATATATATTTTAGCCATGACACAATTTTGTACCGTTTTTATAGTTCTTCCTATAAAGGTGTATATAGATAGTTTTCACACCTACCTGTATTTAGATACGAATTTTCTAATTTGTTGTCCAGATATACCTGGGAAAGGAGAGCCATCCTGGAGCACTTACTGAAGGTTCATTGCTTGCTGTTGGTGGTCGATATGATTATCTACTTCATCAAATGTGGGATTGTGAAAATGTATGTTATGCACCTTTGGTTCCTTTCCTACTTTTCATTTTTGCACTATTGTATGTACATGTGCACTAGCCAAGCAAGTTGAACGCATGATTAACGTACATAGTTTCACGTTCATGTAGAATGGGACCCCAATAACTAATAAGTCAATATATATAGTGCTGTCTTACAGCTAAGTAACTTTTAACTGAAAGTTATATTGCCTAGTTTACTTCCTATTGTCATTTATTGAATACTTACAATGAATACTGGATTATTGTTCCAGCAATAAGTCCCTGCCAGTCTTAACTGCATGTGCAATTTAGAAGTCAAAAAGCCATGGTTGCTTAGGTTTCACTAGTGTGTGTATGCTAGTACCCTGGTATACTTGCATAATTTCCAAAATCATATCTCATCTATTTAGTAAGTGAAACTTGTCTCTCTTTTTTGGCACCATCCAGAAAACAAATCCTCCAGGTGCTGTTGGAACCAGCCTTGCACTTGAGACTATAATCCAGCATTCTCCTGAAGATTTCAAGCCTATTAGGTGCAGTTGCCTTCTATTGCTCATCTCTATCTTCTCGGTATTTATTTGATTCATTGACCATACTCATGGTGCCGTCACCTTTGTGTTTCCTGCTGCAGAAATGAACCTACCACCAGCATCCTTGTTTGTTCAAGAGGAGGTGGGGGTCTGTTAAGGGAACGCATGGAACTTGTTGCTGAATTGTGGGAGGAGAATATCAAGGTTGGGGTTAGATTGTTGTTCTTGAACGTTCGATGTAATTTATTGTCGTTTTCATACTCATTTGTCATTCTTGTATATCAGGCTGAACTTGTTCCTGTACCTGATCCGAGCCTCACTGAGCAATACGAATTTGCAAGTGAACATGAGATAAAATGTCTTGTTATCATAACCGAAATGGGTGTATCTCAAACTGGCTTTGTTAAGGTAATGCGGACCTGGGAGGCTATTTCTGTTTTCGTTTTCAATTTTTTTGCTACTTTAAAGACATTATTTAGTTCTTTACCAATACGTGTAACCTTAAAATGATAATATCTTCAGGTTCGTCATCTTGATCTTAAGAAGGGGAAGGAGGTTCAGAGAGAAGATCTTGTAAGATTTCTGTTGAATGCAATGGGGACACAATTCCGTAACCCTTCAGTTTGGAGCCAGTAACGTCTACATCAAATATGAGGTTCTTAGTAGCTTATGCTCCCTTCGAACAATAGGTGTATGAGTCAGAATTCTTCTTTGTTGTCTCCTCTGGTGCCCAATGATGCAAACTGTGAAGAGTCTTTTGCATGAATCTGTCACCAAGTTTTTGCAGCTTTAATTTTGTTCGAATTACATTACATGTTACGTAAATTTATCCGAAACGAGTGTAAATGCACAACACTCCCGGGTCTATGTATCAAACAGAATACAAAAAAGAAGAAAAAAAAGTCATCGGTGATACAGCAATCAACACAAACATCATAGTTTTTGGTTTGGCCAAGACTTCGAGCTATGTATATCAGTATGTGCCTGCTTAATAACAATGTGATTTGATTCATTTTCAGTTTGATTTGGTTCTTGTAATATTGTTTTTATATATTTTTCTTGAGTTACAGGAAAAATGCATTGTTGGTCTTTATACATTAATGCTTCCATTTCATCGGATTACATTGTAGATGTCTAACATAACAGTAAACAAGATTTTCATCCATTAGCATTAGAAGAAACAGATCACACAAGTTACAATCAGTACAATAGTCACAAGAAAGAATTCAAATTAACAACACAAGGGAGTACAAATCGAAACAGATGCATGTCACGGTCTGCATTTGTTACAGCATGGTTAAGGTTAAAAGGTCACTGTCTGTGCCGTCACGAACTATGACAGCACGGTTAAGGTTACAGTGTCATGGTCTGTGCCGTCGATAGCATGATTAAAGTTTGAAGCTCCATTACACATGCAAGATGCAAACCAGGATATGATACTATAGAAATCCTGAAAATTACATCCTCATTCTCCATTTTTTACAGTTCCATTGCCTGGGATCATTTAGAAATTGTGTTGTAAGAACATGCTTTGTTGAGGAGATGCGGGGCCTATTTCTTCCTCCAAGCTTCTCAAACCATCCCCGGCGTACCCTACATTGCCTGTGTTTCTTCCTTCCATGTTCTTTCCCTCGACATCTGCTTCTGATACAGATGATTTCCGCTACACTGGGGAAAGTAATCCATGAAGGAGCTCTAAACTCAAACCTTTGATCCTCTACTTCTTCTGCAACTTCAGTTTCCGAGACCGATCGATTTGAAGACCTTTGAGAAGACTTCTTGTGCATTCTGTTGCTTCCCAATATCACTTCGGTTGGCAAAATAGGTTGTTCGCTACACGGACTGCCCATCAACTGAGCCAAAGCTCGTTCTAAAGCGGTGGTCACTTTATCCATGATGGTCTCTCTTTTCCTCTCATTCTCACACATTTGGAAGCCACATTCGCGATCCTTTTCAAAGCTTCGATGTCTGAAGGAGGTTTCAAAACGGGGTCTAGCACTGCAGATATGTCTCCTGATTTGATCAATGGAACTGCCCACTCTACTATATTCCCTTCTTCGTATTGCATATCAATGGCTTTTCGTCCGCTTAAAATTTCCAACAATAACACACCAAAACTGTAGACATCGGACTTTGTTGTGAGGTAGTGGAGCCTGTAGTATTCCGGATCAAGATAACCGAGTGTCCCAGCAGGTAGCTCGGCTAATGGACTGCTACTATTTGCAGGTCCTAGTAAAGACAGACCGAAATCAGCCACTCGAGCATTGTGTTCTTCATCAATTAGAATGTTTGAGGATTTGATGTCCCTATGAATCACCGGTGGGCAAGCGTAACCATGCAAGTATTCGATTCCTCGTGCAGCTTGGACCACAATGGTGACCCTCCGGACCCAATCTAGTTGCTCTTTCAAGGCTTTGTTCTTTCCATGAAGATGCTGGTGCAATGATCCATGAGCCATAAACTCGTAAACAAGAATCCGTTCCCCACCTTCTTCGCAATATCCGAGCAGATTCAAAAGATGGGCATGGTTCAATCTCGACAGTAAATCTAACTCCGTGTGGAACTCTTTGGAATTCTTCTGTTTATCTGAAGACATTATGGCCTTTTTTACTGCAACAGTCCTATCTTTCAATATCCCTTTATAAACACATGAGAAACTTCCTTTTCCAACCACAGATTCTTCTTTGAATCCACCAGTGGCCTTCTCGAGTTCTTCGTAATTGAACATCTGAGCCCTCCTGATCTTAAGCTCGTCAAAGTCGGGACGGACTTTTACATTTTCCTTTCGGCAAGAAGCAATCTCATTAGCTTTCTTGAATTTCGGCTCTTTTGATTTGCAGTGACAGCTCTGCAACCTGTATCGTACATATAAAACTGCAGTTAACGACATAATAATCACCAGTAACACGGCAAAGGTAATCTCCACGATGATGATCGGCAATTGCAGCGACCAGAACCTCTCATTTTTTACTTCCGTTAGCAGCATTGGAGTTCGAAGGCGAAGAACAATTCGAGAAGCATTCCACTGAGTTGCAACTAGAACAATTGTAATCACAAACTCGATCAGACTTCAAAGTACATCCTGATTTTTGGTATATTTCGGCAGGGCAACCAATACTGCAGGGCATACAAATATGAAAGTTAGGAGACTTGCAAGGTGTATTCTTGGGATTAACTTCATAGGAACCCGGCAAGCAAGGAGCATCCTTGCAAAGTCCGGGTGAGACAGCCAGAGGGAGCGAGGTGGGGAATCCGACGCCCCAACAAACCGGGAGAAAAGATTTTTTGGCCATAACACAACAGGTGAAGTAATTTCCAGCTGCAATGTCATATACTTTAACACCTTTAGGAGGTGGGGTAGTTGGTTTGACAATGAAGCCCCAGCAAACAACCTGGTGATCGTAACTCTTGATTCCACAAGCATGAAAACTTCCCTCCAACAACCGTAAGCATCGGATCTTTTGGCGGCAAATCAACATTTCCTTGACGGGAATATGCAACCGGCATGGACAGTTCTTCTTCTAGGTTCAAGCTCCTTCCCCAGCAAAAAACTCTAGAATTCAACCCTTCCAAGATCCCACATACATGATAACCACCAGCAGCAACCTTTTGGAACCTCATTTCTCTAGGAATCAAGCTAATGACACGCCTACTCGTCTCATCACCCCAACACAAAACAGTCATGTTCCAAGAAAACAATCCGCAGTTAAACTCCGATCCGGCGGAGAGCGATTTAATCTGCCCATCAAAGACGTAGTTCTTGGTCATATTATAACCCCAACAATCAACAAAAGCATAATTTTTGTGCTTTCCTGTTAAAGGCTTCCAAACCACATAAGTGGTAATCCCCTGCACTGATTTCTTCGTACTCGCCTCCCTTGATCATCGGCTGAGGAACCCCCATTTTGATATAGCTGCTGCTTCCCCAACAATACGGCTGGTTCGAATCCATTAACAGCCCACAAACAAAGCCATCACCGGCAGTTAGACCCACAAATGGGAAATGAGAAGGTGTCCCGTAGATGACTGCAGCATTTGATCCATAGCAGGTTACAAGATGTGAACCATCAGGTTTCAAACCACAGAAAACCGGACCATTCTCACCATAGGAAATGGCAATGCTAGACATCGAGCCTAGACCAGAAACTACCCACCATAGATTTAACAAAGCCACAAGTGAGACCCTGATACAGGAATCTCTAATCACTAAGCTGACAACTCCCATTGCAGCACAAGATGAACCTAAATCACTTTTCAAATGCTTTGAAGCTGCATGCTTATCTTTTTTTATACCCAGAGTGCATATGATAAATCAGTAAGGATTACAGTCACATTTAGCATTTGCAGTATAAAGTAAAAACATGATTACCCACGGTCACGGATCCAGAAATATTTTTGAGACACCAATAAGTAAATAACAGAAGAAAATGCGGAACTGATTCACCACTGATTTCCCATCATGAAAATGAGACGAAAACCAGAAAACAGAAGCTCATTACCTAAAAATCAAGATCAAACTACCTCTTGAGAAAACTTTGTAGCATGGAACCAAGCGATTTCACTCTTCCTCAGTGACGTTCATCATTTCTGCAATTTTGGGTCACAAACAAATTAAAGAAGCAATGAAGCTGTTTGCTGAGAAGCCTTGATACTTTTAGCTTTGCATGTAGTTTCTTGATAGAGAATGTAAATGGGAAAACACATTCAAAAAGAAGAAATTTGACAAGAAATCTAGTGAAGAAGAGAAGTAGATGATGGGTGGTGTAGTTTTTTTTGCAGGGAAGAATGTAGTGAGAAAAGGGAAGAGAAAGAACAATAAATGTGGATCAAACTGCTGCTTCTGAATATTGGCAAATGTTGGTGAAGGCATTTAATGAGAAGTTAATGCCATTTCATCTTTTTCATGCTTTTTTCTTCCATTATCATATTCATCACCACCACCTATTTCCATTTTTTATTTTAAACGTCACAGCCAGTTTATGTACTGTTCATTACATGCAACTCAAGCCCTTGCCCTGCATTATAATTATAATCGTATTTAATTCTAAATTGAATCATCATTTCTTATACTGTCCCGTAATTAGTTTGTTGTTTCCAACTTTAAATTTCAGTTTTTTAGTATTCTTCCTTTTTAACCACTCAACTATTCTTTCAAGCTATAGTGATAAAAAAAACCCTAATATTTAATTAAATAATTATTTTTTTATATTTGACTCCTAACATAGTGAATAACAAAAATCCACTACAAACAGACTGAACAACGTTATTCAGAGCTTTACGTTTGCTAATGTCATTAGATGTAACATTTGTAATATAAAAAGGAACTGACCATAGTAAACATTATAGACATCGTGAGTATTGACTGTAATAATATTGTTGAAATATAAGTTAATGTTATTTTAGTGATTTTTGTCTTAGTTCCGGTTACAGCTCCACACCCATAAATTTCTACAAACTCAGTCTCTAATGGCTTCCTGTTGTGTGTAATTCCTATCACATGACTTGTGGTATTCCCATCCCGTCCGTGTTAACCATCCATGGTATATTCTACTCCTGACAGATTGAGTAACATGAATCCACTACAAACATACTGAACAACATTATTTAGAACTTTACGTTTGCTTATGTCATAAGATGCAACATTTGCAATATAAAAAGGAATTGACCATAATAAACATTATTGACATCATGAGTATTTATTTGTGAGTATTGACCGAAATAATATTGTTGAAATATAAGTTAGTGTTGTTTTAGTGATTTGTGTCTTAGTTCCGATTACAGCTCCACCCCATAATTTTTTACAAACTCAATCTCTAATGGTCTCCTGTTGTGTGTAATTCCGATAACATGGCTTGTGAGACTCCCATCGCGGTCGTATTAACTATCCATGGTATATGGTCACAAAATGTCAACGAGGTTCCGATTCCCGCTTGCAACACAGCTACTAAGGAATATTGCATAATATTAATATAAGTTTTCAAAATTAGGTTATTTTTATTTTATTTAAAATTCACTTCCCACATTCTAGCTTACGTTTATAGATTAAATTAAAAGCATAAATAGTAAATGAAAAATGGAGGTAAAATTGACTTTGAATGATGTCAGCGGCGACAACCAACCGAAGCATGTGGCACATTTATAGTAAGGAACTGACATAGCCTAAAGCTGTAACCAACCTGCCTACGCACTTCATAAGCTTTTCTTAAAGCTGACTTGTGTTTATTTTTTAAAATAAAATTTAATAAAATATATTTATTTCATAAATACATAAATATAAATATCTAAAATTATTTTTTAACTAATAATAACAGTGAATTATATTAAACAAATAAATTTTATCAAATATCTTTTCATTAATATTGATCATTAAATTTAATAAATTTTTAGATCAGTTGTTGACTTGTTTTCACATGTAATATCATAATATTAACAAATGATATTTTAGCATTACTCTACGTTTAAGCTGATATTTAGAAGACCTGAAAAATAAATAAATTAATATATATATATATATATATATGGGTGTGAAGTAGTTTTCACTTTGTAGTATCCCTGTCATACATTAGAAAAAAACAATAATTTTGTATATATTTCTTGTTCAAAAAAGAGAAAAGTGAAATTAAAATAAAATAAACTTTAACATATCATTTATCATTAATTACTATTTAAATAAACAATTGAGAACATGTCACAACAAACTAAAACTCACCACCGATATATCAAATAATTATCAAATAAATTATGCCAAAACCTAATTCTTTGTTTAACCAACCATCAGCATGATTATATGTGATTTTTAGAGCTTTTATGCTTTAGCTCATAAAACATTTCCAAAAAGAAAACTCTAATCCGTTATAAGATGAACTCATAGAGTGATTTTAATGATAAAAAGAATGATATTCTTTCTAAAATAATCTAGATTCGAACAGGTGCACTCAGAGTGTGCATTATCAATAGACTAAAAAGTTTCTAAGCAGATATTTTCTTTTCTTCAAATGTTCGAGTTCAACACTCGTATCTAACATAGATATAAAGACAACCTTCAAAGATTTCATAATACATAAAAGAATTTAAAAAAAAATTAAACATACTTGTATCTAACACCGAGTCCGAACAGCATAGGTTTTCATGACAATGATACTAACAAAGATTTGGCATATATTATTTCAGTTAAACCAACAAGTTCTTAAATGTGAGCTCAATCAAAGCTTCCTCCACGCTCAAATGGAATTATTATGAAAAATTATTACTTAACACTTACTCTAGACAATACCTGACTTTGCAATATGAATTCCTAAGGAAAACTGAAACCAATATTTCGAATTTCGCCAGCACAGACTTCGTAAATCACTGAAGAAGAAAAGAATAAACTGAATATGTTTAGACAAACAAACTGAAGGAAATCTAAAACACACAGCAAAATTAAATCAGGAACCTTGTAATTCATCGCATCATAGTCTACAATAGCAGCCTAATAAAGCGGAAGTTCTGCCACTAACAGGGCTGATTAAGGTAAGAAACTATCCCCGCATGATTCAATCAAGCATGATTAAGGTTTATTTTAAACAATGTCAGTTTTATGCACAGTCCTACGTTTAAAATTCTATCTTCTTTAAAAAGATGCATTCAAGCATGGTTCAACCAAATAACTATCATAATAAATTCACCCCATATACATAAGCCAACTATTGACTAACATATAAAACATGCTCTACATCAAAAATGGTGGATCTAGAATCTCATGCTTGTAGTTGTTCTCCCATGTATGAGGAACACCAATAGGAGAACAAAGTTGGTAGAAGATTAAGACCCTGAAAGAAAAGGGATAGGTTATCATCCGGTATTCATCGGTGGCGGTGCTAAATCCACTCTCTCTCTCCCGGACACAAGATAGAAATAACATGAAACTAGTTGCATGAACAGCAACTTGAATAGAATACTACAGCCTTATTGCATAAACTTTTTGTTAGACTGAGACTAATTTTCGATTTCCTTGTATGTTAACATAAAATCAAGAGAACAGAAAGAACAAACATTTCCTCATATGTAAACCAAAATGTGTGGTTATATTTCAAATGGGTGGCATGCTGCAATTAATTGAACAGAAAGGAAAGAGGGAAAAAAAAACCTTGGAAACCAGCCGCATGGATCTTCTAGGAACAACCTTCCTAATAGGATGCTTTCCGCTTCTTAAAACCTTTGCATCATGCATGCTACAGTCATTTTGATCACCATCCACCTCTCTAATAGGACGCTTTCCGCTTCTTAAAACCTTGATATAAAGCATGCTACTATCATTTTGATCATCTACCTTCCTAATAGGATGCTTTCTGCTTCTTAAAACCTTGGTATCAAGCATGCCACAATCATTCTGATCACCATCTATATATGCTCTCTTTTTCCCAAGTCCATTAGAATCAATATTATCAAGCACTCCACAATTTTCAAATAATTCATCATGTGAGCATCTGGAAAGAGCAGTTATACAACCAAATCAACAATAAAATAAATATTCTATAGCATATAATTAAATTATGAAGGATAATTACTCCGAACTCTCTCCCCAATTAATAACTTTGCTCCTATCCTGCAAGCAGTTTCATACAGTATAATTTTAGTTGTTTCATTGAGTATACTGAGACAAAATAGGTTAGTTAAAATTCTAAGCCCATCTCTCGTCCACACCCATAAACAGAAGCATAAAAAGTAAATAAATTGAATTTATTAAACCAAAGTGTTCAGATTATTATAAGTAAAAAGAGGAAGATAAGAAAAGAGGATTTATTCTACCCTTAAGATGAATCCACTACGTACGTACATATTCATAAAGAATGGCCATGTGCTTCGAAAACAAAACCTAAAACATTATTTCTCAAAATAATTAGCTAGTAAATTTTGACACAAAAATATAGCACAATGGAAAACAGAATGAGAAGAGAACAAGATTAGGAGCAGGAGTAGAAGACAAGACGAGATGAACTATTACCTGTTCTTCAACTAATGTCGGCAACTGATTCCTAAATATCTCTTGACAAAGCCCAGTTGAGCCTACTACTCCACCTTGTTCCGCATAAATATTATGCTTTTGATCAACCAAATTCCCAAATTCATCATTTTCACTAGGTGAATGTAAATCCTTTTTCTGGTGAACCACGTCTTTGGGCATTGGCATCTGCAATGAACCATCTGACATGTATCCAGGAACTATTACACCAGAACTCACAGGATTACAACCAATTTGCACGGTAGAATTATCACATGTTTCATTTTCAAGAGTAGAATTCTTATGCTTCACTATGAGAAGATTTGGTGCACCATCTGATATATTTAACATAGCATCACTGGCTAACATCTCCTTGGGAGAATTAATATTTGAATCAAGAGTTATCAAACATCCATCTTTAGCAGAGGATGCACCAGAAGAAATTATTTCCTCTTGAACATCAGGAAGAGCTTTAAATGAGGGCAGTCCTTGATGTCCTTCTAAGTGCTCTGACACATCCACAGCTTCAGCACATGTCATTACAGTGGAGCCTGTGGGCCTTTCATCTCCATTTGAATTATCAAGCAGCAATGCATGATGTTCTTTTATGATCAAACTTGGGGGTAATCCAGAGTGTATATGACCATCTTCTATTCTCCCATCTTCTACATTCAATTGAAAAGAATTTTTCAACTGCTTACTACTTTCCTCAAAGTGCCCAAGCTCATTACGGAAACTCTGAGGCTTGCTATGGGACATGTTCTGGCATATAGAAACCTCACTCTTCAATTTCTCAACCCATTCTGATGGGTTTGAATTTAAATCAACATAAAGGTTAATGCCCTCTTCTGATTTTACATGAAACTGAAAAGAAGAGGAAGAAACAGTTGAAGTGTTTATGGAGGAATGAAAGTCAGCCTCATTAGAACATGAACCAACATCCACATCTTTGTTTCCAATTTGAGGCACATCATTAATATTCCCCCCTCTTGTAAGACTCGGACAATTTCTGTTGAAGTATATTGTTGGGAACTCTTTATTCTTAAAACCACTATCATTATACTGAGTTACAAACTGAGGATGTTGTGTTTGCTGGAAAAATATAGAATCACCACCATAGTCATCCTGCATTGATGGACCCAGATAATTAGAAACAAGTTTTGAGTTCTTAAAAGCAAACAATCAAGAATTGCCCAGATACATCTTGCTTAAAAAGCTACCATCGAGTTAATTTTTCACAGGCCATAGACTAGAAGACAAAAGTTGCATCCGGTAAAATCTTAGTGCACCATTGTATTTTCCTTTTGGTTGTGGTGTTGGGTGGGGTTGAGGAGATCTTCTCACTTCTGGTTAGATGAAAAGGTCTATATCTTTCAGCAGGAACAACTGCATTAACCTAACACATGCTACAGGAGAGAACCGATGGGGAAGATGAAGTGAGGAATTATATGGGATTTATCTGGTGGCATCAGGTGTCCAATAATATCCATAACTAAAACATAAACATCCAAGAATAGAAGCAAACCTTATGATAAAATTTATCCCCTGTACAACAACCCAATCCATTACTTTTAACAGCTTCAGAACAATTTCCTCCATTACAACTGCCTGTTTGACAAGAGATGAGGCCATAGAAATCTGCAGAAGCAGCCAGATGTTATTCTTACTATGGCGCGTCAACTGTAGTAAGGAAATCATAGTAAAGAAAATTAAGTGAAACTGCTTAGGCACACAATAACTAGTTAATACCTTTATCAGAATCCTTGAAAGGGAGTTGCAGGGAGAATGGAAGTCCAGCCTCTTGAATTTCATACAATCTTTCCCTCATAGTCATTGAACCCAATCTCTGGTTCTGCATATTTTTCAAAGATATTCTATGATGGGATAAACAAGATCTTCAAAGTCATGTAAATTTAGTAACATGTTTTACAAAAATAAAAAAAATCTATGTGAGGAATAAAGAATATTAGAGCATGTTTTGTATTTTGCAGGCCAGCAAAATTTACGCCCAGATGCATAACATAATGGGACTAAAACACAATCTAAGCTAACATATAGGCAAAAGGCAGTATGATATGCTTCAGATTCTTAACTCTCAGTTGCCAACGAAAGGGATAGCTTAATAAATTACCTCTAGATAGGAGGCCAGTGATCTAGCCATATCCGAACTTGACCTATTAGCAGGTAGACCATATTTCTTACATAAACTTTGAAGCTCTTTTCTTGAAAGGCTATGGTAGAAATCTTTATCTTTCTTACTTCCCATCCGTTTTCGACCAAATAAATCTATAAAGAACAACAGCAAACAAGTTAATTCTGAACCCTTCAAAGCAATAAACAAATGAAAGTTCTTGCTATAATAGTCGCGAAAATCTAAATCTCAAACGCCAATAATACCAAATAGAATGTATAAGTCGAGCATATGAAACAAATCATGACAACAACTTTTTAAACCTCAAATTCAATATCCCCTTACCTTAAAACTACTTCACCTTAAGAAGCAAGCACCCCCAAAGAAAACAATTTTAAAAAACGGAAAAAAAAAAGTAATAAAGTTACGTTTGTCCCGAAACTAATCCGATTGCTAAGAAACCGTTGGGGAAAAGAAGAAGAAGAAAATCAGCAAGCGTAGAGTTGAAATCTGAGCATATTTAAAGAAGAAGAAAAGAAGTTCAAAACGACAAAGATTGAAACTTTTTTGTTCTAGGGTTCCTACATATTCGGAGAAAGAATATTCTTGTTTCTTTTGGGTGTGTGGATATTCTATTACGAGATGAGAAAGAAGAGGAAAATGGGCAAGAAAATGGTGGGAAATGAGCAAGCTTTACCTTGGAGGGAGAGGGGGTTTGAAATTTTCGAAAATCTGATCTGCTTCCGCTCTTTTTGCAGCAGATTTGAAAATGGCAGTCCCCAAAATCTAGTAATTTGGTGTTTAGATTAGCAAGTTATACGGGATCCTCACTAAAATTATCATTTTTGTTATTTTTTGGTATATTATAGGTTTGTCACTGAACTATCCTCTCACTTTTATTTTACTCACTAAAATTTAAATTTTTCACTTTAATCCCTCAACTTTTGAATTGTTCTAATTTTAGTCACTTTGACTTATTTTTTTTCTTCTATGATATGATATTTTATTGTTATTTTATTAAGATATGTACCATGGGATTAAAATAAAAAATTAAATACAAAATTATATTCAAAACCATAAATCTAAAAGTTATACATAAACCCTAAATCAAAGCCCACCCCACTTACACAGCTTCACCTTCAGTAGCCTCTCTGACCTGTCCCTTTCTCTTTGATCACCTTCTGATCATCGACGCTACGTCTTTCAAATCTTTCATGTGCAATTCCTAAATCTTAAACCTAAAATCAATACTCAATATAAGCAAAATTGGAACTGACATAATAGATTTGAAAGAATAAGAATTTAATTTGAGTGGAGAGATTTGAATCATTGATAAAAAGATTGGTGACAAGGGATCTATCAATGTGAATATACGTGAAGAATAAATCTCAAAATTACATTATTTTCATAAAAAAAAATCATTCATGAAATAATAACGTAACATAAATGGTAATCATTCATATTACGTTATAAATAATTCAAATTCAAAATCAAGTAATAAGTATAATCAAAGATTATTTCCCAATAATTAACATTAATGATGGTAAATTAAAGGAAATTATTATTCTTTATTATTTCGCTCCCTATTGATATCCTTCTGTTTTTCCTTAAAAATTCACCTGCTAAACTCTTCAAAATCCTGGACAAAGGCAGTAAATTTCATTCATATCCATCTTCAACCTTGGTCTCCTTCTTCAAGCCTCAATCCAGGCAAGCAGTATTTACCTTTCAATTTTCAGTTTTCTCTGCAGCTTTTGCTCTACTTTATAACATTTACAAATGCTGTGACAGTTTATTTTATCAAACATTTGATGCAGTTAGTTTGAACAATGTCTGAATCAAACGTGGACTTTTCATTGAAGGAAACTAAACCGAATATCGGCGGAGGAAGAGTCTCTGGTAGCGAAAAGCTTACTTCGTCATTCGACCTCGTCGAACAACTGCATTTTCTGTACGTAAAATTGGTGAGGGCCAAAGATTTACCAGGTTCACCGTGCAATCCATTTGCTCAAGTAAAGGTTGGTAACTACAAAGGCACGACGAAGACCGTCGTCAATAGTCCTGATCCCGAGTGGAACCAAGTTTTCGCGTTCGCAAAAGATCGAATCCAGGCTGTGACCGTGGAGATAACTGTGATGAACAAAGAGAGTTTTGTAGGCAAAATCGGTTTCGATATACCGGACGTTCCTAGTCGCGTTCCACCAGATAGTCCGTTTGCACCGCAGTGGTATAGTTTGGAGGATGAACATGGAAGAAAAGGTGAGAGAGGGGAATTGATGTTAGCTATTTGGATGGGGACTCAAGCAGATGAAGTGTTCCCTGATGCTTGGCATTCCGATGCAGCGACAGTTAACGGCGAAAGCATATCAAATACCCGATCGAAAGTGTATATTTCGCCTAGGCTCTGGTATCTAAGAGTCAATATAATTCAAGCACAAGATTTGGTGTCTATGAATAACAACAGGGTGGTCCCTGAAGTTTACGTCAAATCTATGCTTGGGAATATGGTTCTAAGGAGTCAATTTTCGCCCGATAAGAGCCTAAACCCGACATGGAACGAGGATCTGATGTTCGTCGTGGCGGAACCATTTGATGATCCATTGATCTTGAGTGTGGTGAATAAGTTGGGTGATAACAAAGAGGATGTTCTCGGGAGTTGCTCCGCTCATTTATCGAAAGTTGAGAAGAGGATAATGCCGATACCTGTAGAGGCAAATTGGTATAATCTCGAGGAATCAGCTAATCGAAACAAGTTGGAAGTAAGGTTTGCCAGCAGGCTCCATTTGAGGATCTGTTTAGATGGAGGCTACCATGTCCTAGATGAGTCCATTTATTACAGTAGTGATTTCAGGGCAACATCCAAATTGTTATGGCCTCCTTCCATTGGTGTATTGGAGCTCGGAATCTTGAATGCGTCCGGTTTGCTTCCGATGAAGTCGAAAGATGGACGTGGAACGACCGATGCTTATTGTGTCGCGAAATACGGGCCTAAGTGGGTTAGAACGAGGACGATTGTCGACAGTTTTTCTCCGAATTGGAATGAGCAATACACATGGGATATCTATGATCCTTATACAGTTATCACCATCGGAGTTTTCGATAACTGTCACTTGGAAGGAGGAAGTAAAACTGCAGACTCGAAGGATCGAAGAATCGGGAAGGTAAGGATCCGACTGTCTACACTTAATGCTGATCGGATTTATACACTTTCTTATCCACTTATAGTTTTGGAACCCAATGGAGTGAAGAAAACGGGTGAAATTCAATTGTCAGTGAGATTTACATGCTCATCTACATGGAATTTGTTACAGTCTTATACACAGCCTTTGTTCCCCGAAATGCATTACCTTCTTCCGTTATCCGTATATCAAATCGAAAGTTTGCGGCATCAAGCTACTCATATTCTCTCCTCGAGATTGCGTCGTGCCGAGCCACCGTTACGGAGAGAAGTTGTGGAGTATATGCTGGATGTTGGCTCCAATGTATGGAGTTTAAGAAGGGGCAGAGCTAATCTCGAGAGACTCCTGGCTGCATTTAATCTACTCGTTGAAGCTTGGAAATCGTTCGATAAGATACGCAAATGGAAGAATCCAATCTCGACGATGACGGTTCACTTTCTATATTCTATCTTGATTCTCTTCCCCGATAAGATATTACCCTTAGCTTTTCTCATGTGCATTGTCCACGGAGCTTCACAGTATAGGAAAAGGCCAAGACATCCTCCACACATGGATACCAAGTTGTCACTTGTCGAGTCTGTGCAGTCCGATGATTTCGACGAGGAGTTCGATATGTTTCCGACTTCCAAAGGGGATAAAGTTCTTAAAAAGAGGTATGACCGATTGAGAAGTATTGCAGGGAGGATGATGACAATAATAGGAGACTTGGCAACTCAAGCTGAGAGGCTTAATTCTATGCTAAGTTGGCGAGATCCCAGAGCTACTTCAATGTTCATGGCCTTTTGTGTAATCGCTTGTGCAACATTCCATCTTGTTCCTTGTCGCTTATTCGCACTTGGATTCGGTTTTTTCGCGATGAGACATCCTCGATTCCGAATCAACATTCCTTCGTTGCCCCAAAACTTCTTCAAAAGATTGCCTGCAAGAGCAGATAGTATGATATGAGATGGAAAGCAACTGCAGTCTGAGGATAAGAGAGTGGTTCGGATATCGAATCCGAAACCGATCTGATGAATGTTTGTTGCGTGTTTTTTGTTGTTGTTATGGACTTATTATCTTTCATATAATATGGATTTGTATTTTCATGATGAGCTTATAAGCATGGAATTAAAAGCTTGAAATGAAACTCAGATACAAAATGTTGGTCATACAAATCTTTCCATAGAGTCATTTTGTAATTAGAATTAATATTATCCTCTGAAACCAGTCGACAACAAAGAGTGGTATGATTCTCGCTTAGGGTGCGAGAGGTCCCGAGTTCAATTCTCGGAATGCCCCTTTTTCCTTAATTTTAGTTCCTTTTGAAAGATGACTTTAAGCCCTTCCATTATTTAAAAGAAATACTTATTTTACACTAAAAATGTTTAAAATTATTTTGTATAAATGTTATGTCGAGTTTCAGTAGCTGAAATAATTAAGTTAAATTCAAATTTTTTAATATTTAGTTTAAATAATTCATTAGCGTAATTGGACATGTTTAACTAAAACAGAGAATTTCAATCAGATCTTCAGCTCATGGGAATTGATTTTTATTCTTAATAGACAAAAATTAAATCAATTTTAAAAAATTAAGGGTCGTTTTGGTTTAAAAAAAATATTTTTTATTTTTATTTTCTGTTTTTGTATTTCAGAAAATAGTTTTCATTTTCAATTTTTAAAAAATTACAAAACAGGTTTGGTTAATGTAAATGGAAACTTGAATCCAAAAATAAAATAGTAAAAATATATTTAGTATCTAATTTTTTTAAAAAAAGAAATAAATAAATAGTTATTAAAAATAAATTAAACTATAATTATTAAAAAAATTATTATATTAATTTAACATGTGAGTTATGCAAATATAAAATAATAAAGTTGATAAGAAGTTCCATAACACAAAATTTATTTTAGTTTATAATAAGAACGTAATGCTATTGTATATAGGAAACCAATTAAATTTTAAAAATATAAAAAAATATTATTTGTTGAAAATATTTTGATATTTCGATATAACAAATTAAGTTAAATAAATTTTAAGATTTTTCAAATGATTTTCTAAATATATTCGATATAACTATTCGAATATCAAAACATTACTCCAAATATTTCAAAAATCATTTTTAATCCTTAGTCAAGTGTAAAATTAAGTTTTAATCTTAAAACAATTTCAAAATAATTTTACAAAGTATTTCGGATCATTTCAAAGCCAAAAATTCCAGATTGCTCATAGGGAACCGATTCCCCCCCAAGGGATACCGATTCCCCCTGAATGGTTTGGCTCCGAGATTTCCAGTATGCTCGGAGGGAACTGATTCCCCCCAAGAGGGTATCGATTCCCCCCAAGGGGGTATCGATTCCCCACTTGTATAACGGTCAAAATATTTGAATTTTACACTTAGGGAACCGATTCCCCACTTGTATCGATTCCCCAGTATGCTCGGAGGGAACCGATTCCCCCCACGCTCTAAGCTGTTTTATTAATTTTTTTCACACTAAAACGGCTATATTATCTTCTCTAATCATACCCAACGTTCAGAAGTGATTCAAGGTGTATTTAAGCAAGCTTAGAAGCCATTGATCAATAATAAGAAACATCAAGCAACTAGAATCAAGAGAGAATCAAAGAAAAAGCATCAAACCTCAAGTTTGAGCATTTCAAGCCTATTTTTTTCATTCAAAATTCATTTTGCTTTCAAGAACACTTATTGTGCTCAATTGTATTTATTCTTGAGTGTTATTTCGTTGTTCTAGAATTGTGCAAACATATTTGCCTTGTGAGGCTTTTCTTGTAAGTTTGCAAATTTGTATATCTATTTAAGAAAAGAGTGTTCTCAAGAATTGGGGTATATTCTTGAGGGAGTTGTAAGGTTATCTCTTTGGCCTCAAAAGAAAGAACAAATTAGTGAATTTGTTGAAAAATCCTTAGTGTGAATAGCTAAGGTAGTGGACGTAGACTTTGGTTGATAAAGTAGAACCACTTTAAATCGTTGTGCAATTACTTTTAATTTTCTGCAAAAGCTTCCACCAAAATTTTAATTGCCAATTCACCCCCTCTTGGTCAATTCCGTCAATCGATTAACTCAACAATTGGTATCAGAGCCTAACTCATTTGAAGGTTTAATCGCCTCTTGAGTCGATTCGAGAAGAGTTATATCGATAATCAAAGTCATCAATGGCCTCCACTTCAAACTTCGACTCCGGTTTCGATTCGATGCCCGTCAACAAGCCTCATTTCTTCAATGGGGCTAACTATGCCTATTGGAAGAATAGAATGATGTACTTCATTCAAGCAAGTGACATGGGAGCATGGAATGTCGTAGAATAATGATACTTCAAGCCTCTCACTCATCCAAGATTATGGAGTGAATGAGAGACAAAAATGTTCCAGCTCAACTCCAAAGCCATCCATATCATATTTTGTGCTCTTGGACCAGATGAATACGGAAGAGTTTCATCTTGTACAATCGCCAAAGAAATATGTGACAAACTTCAAGTCACTCATGAAGGTACCGATGAGGTAAAGAAATCTAAAATTAGTATTATAACGCATAGCTATGAAAATTTCAGGATGAAACCAAATGAAGATATCAAAGCTATGACGGATAGATTTTCAACGATTGTCAATGGTCTCAAATCATATGGAGAGATCATTTCAAATGAAAAGCTTGTGAGGAAATTAGTCTACTCCCTCCCAAAATCGTGGCAATCAAAGAAGACGACAATCATCGAGTCTAAGGATCTAATATCCTTAACTCTTGAACAGCTAATCGGTTCACTCCTCACTCATGAAATGATGCTTGAAGATGAGGTGGACCTTGATAAGATTGAAGAGACACCAAAGGAGAATGAGAAGAAGAAAAACATTGGAGTTGCTCTCAAATCCATAAAAAATGAGAGTGATTCGGATGAAGATGACGATGACGAGGAAATTGCATTGTTTGCCAAACGGTTCAGAAAAATGATGAGACCTTACCGAGGAAGAAAATTCAAACGAAATGAAGGCCTAAAAATGAACCAAAAGAAAAGGACCCGATTATTTGCTATGAATGCAAAAAGCCAGGGCATGTCAAATATGATTGCCCATAATTGAAGAGAAAGGGTCAATCAAAGAATAAGCACAAGGCTCATGTGGCTATATGGAGCGATGAAGAAGGTTCCGATGAAGAGGAACAAGAAGTAGCAAACTCGTACTTGATGGCATTCGGGGAAGATTCTAAGGAAAATGAGCATTGCTACAAGGCACGGGAAACAAATTCAAACTCATGGTACCTTGATAGTGGATGCTCAAGACACATGACTGGAGACAAAAGTCGGTTCATTAAGCTTAACGCTAAAAATGGAAGAGAAGTGACTTTTGGTGATGATTCAAAAGGTCACATTGAAGGTATTGGTACTATTGGTAATACCTCTTCCATACAAATTAAGAATGTTTTATATGTGAATGGATTAAAGCATAATCTATTAAGTATTAGTCAATTTTGTGATAAGGGATTCAATGTCATGTTTGATATTAATGGTTGTAAAGTCATTGACATTGCATCTAATCAGATTATGCTTGTTGGTCATAGAATAGGAAACATATACATGGTACATTTAGATTCTATTGATATAACTAATTTGTGCCTAGTTGCTAAGGATGAACATGATAGTTGGTTATGGCATAGGAGACTAGGACATGCTAGTATGAGTGTTTTGTAACGGCTAATTCAAGGTGATTTAGTTCGAGGGTTGCCTAAGCTTAAATTTGATAATGATAAAATCTGTGATGCTTGTGCTAAAGGAAAACAAAAGCGAATTTCTTTTAAATCCATTAATGACGTATCAACTAGTAGAGTATTACAATTTATCCATATAGATCTTTTTGGGCCAACTAGGACTACTAGCTTGGGTGGAAAACAATATGCATTTGTCTTGGTAGATGACTATTCTAGATATACTTGGGTTCTATTTTTAAGTACTAAAGATGAAGCATTAGAACAATTCATCACATTTTCAAAAGTAATCCAAAATAAAAAAGGTTGCTCTATAACTAGTGTTAGAAGTGATCATGGAACTGAATTTGAAAATCTTGGATTTACTGAATTTTGTAACTCTAACGGTATTAGCCATAATTTTTCAGCACCTAGAACCCCTCAACAAAATGGAGTTGTTGAGAGGAAAAATCAAACTTTAGAAGAAATGGCTAAAACCATGCTTTGTGAAAATAATTTGTCAAAATATTTTTGGGTGGAAGCCACAAATACCGCTTGTTATGTTATAAATCGAGTAATGATTAGGCCAATTTTAAAGAAAACTCCATATGAAATTTTCAAAAATAAAAAGCCTAACATTAGCTATTTTCATCCTTTTGGATATAAATGTTTTGTTTTAAACAACGGTAAAGAGAACCTTGGCAAATTTGATGCTAAAAGTAATGAAGGAATTTTTCTGGGTTATTCCTTAAATTCTAAAGCTTATCGAGTATTTAATAAAAGAACTTTAGTTGTAGAAGAGTCTATACATGTTGTTTTCGATGATAATCCCCTTACAAGGAAGGATTCTTGTGTCATTGATGATGCAGGTGTTATAAATACAAATGACGTTAGACATGACGTTGGAGAACAATCATCAAGGGAAGAAATGAAAAATGAGGAAACTCATGATCCTCTTGAGAATCCAACCATTGAAGAAAGGGAAATATCTTATCCAAGAGAGTACAACTATGTCAAGGATGGTGAAATTATAGGTGATCCATCCAAAGGGGTAACAACTCGATCTTCTCTTAGAAATATTTGTAATTATGTTGCATTTATCTCATGCATAGAGCCTAAGAATATTAAAGAAGCATTAAATGATGAATATTGGATTATGGCTATGCAAAAAGAGTTAAATCAATTTGAGAGAAGTAAAGTTTGGACATTAGTTGAAAGGCCTAGTAATAAATCTACTGTAGGTACTAGATGGGTATTTAGGAATAAGCTTGATGA